AAGAACTTGCTGCACCTCGGGCTGGCCCAAGTGTCCTTCCTGCGGGCAGTTCCCCTTTCACCATGGCTGAACAACTCCTCCACCCTTCGCTGGCTCCAGCAAGGAGCAGATGAACCCATTGTCCCACCCTCCAGGCTAAACTCTGGCTTTAGGAACTTAAAATAGGACCAAAGCTAATAACACACACTGGTAGTTGCAAGTACCCAGCGACCTTGGGTAGCCCTCTGTGCCCGGATCCTCAGGTGCAACAAGACCTGGGAGGAGCAGAGCCATTGTTCTAGCTCCTGCACCCTCTTACACATTCTTCTTCTTGTCCTGTCAGCTGTGTCTGTAATTTTTGTCACCACCGGCAAGACAGCAACCAAGAGTTTTACACTTGGATTTCATTTGTGCTTTTCTTCCTTTTCCTTTTTTTTTTTTTTTTTAAATATTTTTGCATCACCATGTTCTATTATTTAGTTTAGTCTCGATTTAAGAGCTTATTGCCTACACATGGGGTGAAAGGCGTTTCCAAATAAGAATATGGTTTAGAAAAAGCCATGGTTTTGTGTCCAGTAAGCTAGCTCTGATTGATTGTCTCACCTCTTCTGATTTCAAACTCTTCAGAGGAGGGACTGGCCATGTGTGGTACTTTGATAGGACTCAGTTCTCCCAGCAGGGCCATTGATATGCAATGAGCACACCTGAATGTGCCGTGCTCTGCTCAGGACCTGCGTGGAGCAGTGGATGTGCATTGCTGGCGTTGGGTTTGGCAGCGGCTGTGGGATGCAACGAGCTGCACAAGCTGCCATGGTGAACAGAGAGTGTGAGCAGAAAAAATTGGCATGGTTGCAGCAAACAATCCCTGCTGGTGCTTTCCACCCTGCACACTGAAATCTAATCATTGCAACAGTAAGCAGTGGAACTCAGATTTTAATTAGCTGTCAGCCATGAAGTTCTCCCTAAAGCTCCCCGTTTCCCTCAGTTACGTTCCTGACCTACTTCCCAGCTCTTTCACTGAATAGGGTACACAACTCCTCTGGAGCACCAACACATTAATGCTGCTAACGGGCAGCCACTGGTGAGCTGCTCTCTGAAGACCCAGGTGCATCCCCAGCTCCTCCCAGCCCACCTCTCTCTGCAGCCTCCAGTGCCTGTTCCCATCTCCCACTGCTCCTGCTGAGACCCTCAGAAAGGTTGCTTCAGCTGAGGGACTTTGGTGACATTTGAGGGCAGCAAAAAAACCCAAGAGTTTGTCAGCGTTTGTGGGGATGCTCATTAGTCCATGCAAATGAAACCTTTGGCTTAATGGCACTGGGACAGAAAAGGTGAAACAGAGACACAGCCTTATCCCACCTGCACTTATGAACAGCTTTCATCTGCTTGAAAAGTGACTGGTTTGGAGGGATATGAGGCTGGGAGATGTCCCCCACTCCCCGTCCCTCACACACCCCTTTCCAGGCACAGTCAGACCTTCATCTCTCCCAGTCCCCAAGAGAAAGGTGGAGCTGGGCTCCAGAAGAAGGAGAGGAGTTGGGGAGCAGGAGAGACAGTGAGCCCAATGGAGGAGCAGAGACACTGTGTGATGGGGCTGCTCCAGCCTGCAGTGCCTCTGGTTGGCATTGCTTTTTCTCAGCCAAGCCGGATGAAGTGGTCACTGTAACAGCACAGGGCTCTGCACAGGCTGTGAAATCTGCCCGTGCTGGACACGCTGAGCAAATGCTCCAGGCACAAACGCGACGATGCTGCTGGTGTCCTGACACAGCAGGTTTGTCGCAGTGTGGGCACATCCGAGCTTCATCACGATGGCAGCCCAGGCTGTGCTGGGAGAGGTGGTGGGCTCCAGCTACCTTTCCTCCCCTGTCTCTCTTCGGAGTCATGCGAGTGAACACCTACCATTGCAAAGGCGCTTACAACCATTAATTAGTAGTCTCAAAATCATGGAGGTTTTCATGCCAATGCTAACGAATGGTTCATTCATTCATTCATTCATGTACACCCACAGCTCTCTCCGACAGCAGTCTGCATCTCTCTGGAGCTGCTGGAGGAGGTTTCTGGGTATTGTCTACATATGCAGAGCAGAAAGACAATTCCTCCCTGCGAAGAATGGAGTTAGTGGAATCTCGAGCACAGGACAGAATGGTGCAGGCCAATTCTCTGCTCAATGCCTTATGAAAAAATACATCTGAGCTCCTGCATGTTTTAAGGGAGGGGGACACAAACCCTTGAATTGAAAAATTCCCGCCTTACATTCCATGTGGCCAGGGCAAGGTCAGTCTTCAGCTCAGCCCCAGCATGCTCACCTCTGAGCAGCTGTCCTACCACCGTTTCTTGGCCCTGTCTGGAGCATCTCCTCAGTGGGATGCTTTAGTCTCCACTCCAGCTTTTGTGGACTCAGATAATGCTGGAGGATAACCAGGGAGTCCTCATTGGCTAGTTATCTCTGGTCATGGTTTTCCTTGAGTCCCTCAGGAGATGCCAGAGAGATCCCGCAGGAGCAGATGGGATGTCACCTCTGTCTTGCCATCCATCTGTCTTTGCTCCTCACTGCAGCAGACTTGAGCATGCGCCCACTACGCCTTCTCTGGCTCCTCTGCATGTTCTTGGCAGAGACCTGGAGATCCTTGAGAGCAGCGTTTCTAAAAAAGATGCTCAGAAACATAGTTTCCAGCAATTTGAGCATTCACTTTCACTGTCACCTTCAAACCTGCTTTGAGGATAAATCATAGGCATTTAGAAATGTGGAGGATGGAGTGGGACACAGCAGTGAATAGGAAGGCTAATCCTATGTCCTGGACATGATAGACTCTTTTTTGAGCTCTCCAGGCAGTGCCTCCTTGGCTGTTTCCAAGTAGCTGGTACAGTTTGAGTCCTGGTGATCCCAGGGAGGTCTGAGTGCATGAGCGTTGCCCATTGGCCAGTCAGAGGTCTTGGGTGTAGAAGGTGTCTTCTGCTCCTGGAAAACTGAGAGACAGTGCTCAGCGGGAGGTTTGGGCATGGCTGTGGAAAATTGGCAGCGCATGGTTTGCTCTCACCCCAATGTCCTGGGACCCCACAGAGGCAACTGGAGAAACCATGCTCGTGCTGCTTTCAAGCTTTCCCCCCAAGTGCTTGCCCTATGCTGCGTTTTATGCAGGTTTAAGCAACAAATCTGGAACACTAATTGATGAGCATAGCATTAAACAGCTCGGGAGAGGGTTTTCCTGGAAGAAGCATTGACTGGCCAAATTTTGCAGAGCACTGTTTTTGTGTGGCAGACACAAAAGAGTATTTGCACTGGAAACCACCTGCTGTGTGGGGGCTGAAAGCAGAACTAGTTATAGAGGCTGGGAATGAATTTTCAGAGCTTGGAAATGGGAAGAGCTACATGTATTTTGCAAACCGTCCACCAAACAAGCCACACACTCTTCGCTTCAAAATCTCACTTTTCTTTTTGAAAAAAACTGCTTTCTGGCCATCAGGGATATACAAGAAAAACTCAGTATATGCATAGAATTACTTCAGTGACCTGGCTTAACGTAAGAGGTGTCCAAGGTGCAAACTGTCTCCTTGCCCTTCTCAAAACTCAAAAGCCTTCTGACAGCTGTCGTTTGTCTCTGCAGCAGTGCACGCTAATACTAGCATTTCACTCCTGCCCCATTTCACAGGCAAAACCCAGTTCCTAGCCTGAGTCACTGGAAAATGAAGGACCAGATGTCCCCTGCTGAACTGCCTGTCCCTTAGCTGCCCCACCAGAAAAAAAAAAAAAAAAAAAGCAGCTTTGTTTGGCTGTTACAAAACTGCAGAATACGGGAACTAAAAATACAGACGCAAGGTCAACTGAGATGTGTTTCCCAGTGAAGGCAATAGCCCTGGGACTCCACTGCCTTCAGAGGAGTGTCCTGCCAGAGGCCACGGAGCTGCGGTGTGCCAGAGCTGGGGCAGCACGACACCCAAGCAGGCATTAGCACTCTCCACTTGACACTCCAGCTCTTTTCACCACCATCCCAATGACTGCCCTGGCCTGGAAAAAATTTGGCTGGAAAAAATAAACCTCCTCAAATCCAGAATTAAAAAGTGACAAATATGGCTCTCTATGGATTTGCCTTCTCCTTTTGAAACCCGGGGGTTTGATGTTTTTCAATTTACTTGGTAACAAGAAGTAAGTTAAAAAACCAAGAGATGAAATAGTGACATGCAATCACATGACTCCAGGAGCTGGGACTTTAAGAAAAAAACAAATATGCAAATGCCATGATAATGTGGCAAGATCTGGGACCTGTGTCCTGCAAAGTGAGGACTGTTGATGCTTCTTCAGCAGCTCTGGTGTCACATGAAGCCACATCCCTCATTTGATCTGTGTGTGAGGTTCCCATTGCTCTGGACGGGAGATGAGGGTGGACGGGCCGCAGTGCGTGACTCCGGCCGCAGCCCCCACTCGTGAAGCTCATTTGGCCTCTTCTGTACCATCTGTTTTCCAGCCCTGAGCAAGGTGGAATATTCCAGGGAAAACAGACTTTTTTATTAAAAGTGAAAAGTGCTCACCTGTGCTGCGAAGAGCACCTTATTTATATATTATGTATATATTCCAGGTGCTGGAACACCTTGCAAAACCCAAGCCCATTAGGCAAAAGGATGTGAAGCTTCAAGGGAAATTTGTCTTCACTGTCATGAATGGTCAGAAATATTCCTTGCTTCCTTGCTGCTTTGATTTTACTGACCTCTGCCTCAGCTCTGCCTCGTTTCACCCAGAGTGTCCTTGCCTGCCTCGGTGTCCCTCCATCACTGATGGGTCTGCTGGTGGTTTTAGCCCCCGAGTCCCAGGGATACAGCGGAGCTGAGGAACATGCTGCCAGCTGTTACCAGCACGCAGCAGTCAATTTTAGGCCACAAGGACCTATGGGACTGGGAATTTCCGTGCTCCTCAGCCTTCCCCGAGGCACCCTGGAGAACGTGTGTGCCCTTGTTCTGGGCTGACTCTGCCCCTGGGACAGCCGAGGCAGCAGCAGGGTTCTGATCCCAGTCCCTGTCTCTCCCCCTACCTTAGACACGAGTCCTGTGGACGGGGACCCCCAGTTCTGCACACAGGGACTGTGCTGTTTCAGCACAGTTGGGTCTATTTGCACTGCTGAGGATGGGTAGGCCAACAACACTTGTCTTCTCCGTGCTGCACACTCACGCCGTGGTGAGGTGGTGCCCAGTGCTGCACGTCCTGAACACAGCAACGTGTGTTCACCCAACGTCTTCCCCCTGCACGTAAGGGGAATTTAACCAGAAAAGAGAGAAATGTAAGAAAACCAGATTTAACTTCCAGATTACTTAATGTTTATGGGCTTGGTTTTCTTTGCTGGAGATTTTGGAGAAATGAAACTGCAGGGTTTGTGAAACCGGATTGCCTTCCCAACTCCCTGTGCTGTCACGTGCCAGGCCGGGTGCCCCCTGGAGCTTCCAACACTGCCTGTTCAAAAGCTGTTCTGAGCTGAGTGGCTTTTTCACGTCCTTCTGGATTGTGATGATGGTTTGAAACAATTGAAGATGCTCTTTGGCCACTTGCCTTGTGGTTAGAAATCCCCAAGTCTCTTATAAAAATCTTCTCTGTTCCCATAAGAAGAGAAGATTTCAGGTTCAAGTTCTGAGGCTGTATCCCTGTATGTAGGGTAGGTTTAGACTGAACATTAGGAAAGAACTTTTCACAGAAACAGTGGTCAGGCATTGGAATAGGCTGCCCAGGGAGGTGGTTGATTCACCATCCCTGGATGTGTTTAAGAGTCATTTAGATGTGGTGTTGGGGGATATGGTGTAGGGGAGAACTTTGTAGAGTAGGGTAGATGGTTGGACTTGATGATCCCAAGGGGCTCTTCCAACCTGAATGATTCTATGATTCTATGTGCCGGAGGGGCGTGTGTGTGCGTGTGTGTGTGTGTGTGCAGGTATTCCCTAATGCAGATTGTGCAAGCAGTGCACAATGGCAGTGGCAGGTGTGGAGGGAATGGCAGGGATGGGAAAGCGTGGCCATGATGGGGAGGGAGCAGAAAGCTGGCAGTAGAACCAGCCCACTGGTGTGTAGGCAGCTGCATGTTTAGTAGACCAGTGTCTTAGCAGGGCTCATGGGAATGCAGGCTTTCCTCTTCATTCAGCTCCCTTCCATGCACACCTTAGTCACCAAGAAATTTTCTGGCCACTGCATCTCAAGATATCAGTGTGGTATTTTGATATTTGTGCCAGGACTGCTAATAGTATCTGACATTTTATTTGCCATCAGTAGACTCCAGAGTTAACACCTGTACTGACATGACCAGTGGCATCAGGAAGGCAGACAACATCTGCAGAGCCACCAATGGGAAGAAATAAGAAATGTAAGAGGTCTAGAATATATGATTCAAGAGGAAATGGTGTAGGAATGCAGACTGTCAAGTCAAAAGAAGACATATATCCTCACAAATCTGAAAGAATAGATGGTTCCCACTCCTACTGTCAATAAGATACGAAGCCAGGAGGTTAAACTACAGGCAAAGAGACTGAAGTTTGGCACAAGGTAAAGCTTTCTATAGCCATGGGAGTAATGGTGTAGGCAGTTGGGCTGTTGGCAGAGAGGGAGAAGTCTGTGCCATGGCAAGTTTTTAAGATCAGGATGAGCAAACTGTTGAGTTCAGATCAGGTGTAGGTGACCTAGCTTTCAACATCATTTCGTCAGGAAGATGCATCTGAGATGAACAATCAGGAGACCTTCAGCATATGATAAAAAGAAAAACACTGTAGTGGTTAGCTGGGTGAAAGAAAAGAAAGCCTGCCTTTAGGCTTTGGACAAAGATTTGGCCTAGGAAAACAGTCAGAGCACTGGAAATTAGGCCATGCTGGGAGAGCAGATCTAGGTGGCAGTGCTATCCAAGCTCACGCAACCTGGGAGCAGACAGACCTCGGAGCCAGGATGGCAGCCAGTTTCCTGGGCAGGTGAGCCATTTAGCCAGTGGGACGCTGGGGAAGAGAGCTTGTTACTGCTTTGAAGCCCATGGAATATCCCACTTGGGTTTCGTCCTGTCAAGGTTTGTTCCAGGCTCGTAGCCATTTAATTCACTTAGCAACCTCTTCTGCTAGTTTTTTTGTGCTCAGCTGTAGGAACCTTGAAGCTTACCCAAATGCTCTTGGGAGCTGGTGGCACAGGAAGGTTTGTGTTGGAGATACTCCTCCTGCCTTGGTGGTGGTCCCTTTCACGTGCCGTGCTGGGAGCTTGTCCCACTGTGAACTGCAAGTTGGACTGTGCAGGCAAATCTTGTCCCTGATCAAACTGCAACACTACTGCCACAGCACCACAAATGTCTTCAGTTAACCCTGACTTATGGCTCTATAAGATACACTATGATGAAAAGCTACCAGAACCTGTAGATTCTAAGAAGAGGAGTACTGTATATGCAGCTGGCCACCCCTGACCAGCAGTTACACTAACTAGATGGCAACGTGAAAAATGGTAGAAAAGAGAAACTTTACATATAACAAAAGCAGGGTACTAGCTTAATTGCTGACTGAGGGAGAAATTACCAAGGCAACCATATCATGAGTACCAACTAAGTGTGTTTCCTAAGTCAGGAAACCTGGGGCCAGCAAGGGTAAAGTAAATACAGGTGGATGGCTTGTCTGGGAGGAGAGAAATTTGGTAAAGAAGCAGAACCTGAAGAAAATAATAATAATAATAATGATAATAATAATAATAATAATAATAATAATGGGGAAAAAACAGAATATAAGGTAAAGCAAGTGACATACTCAGGACTGATTGGGGCTGTTGGTCAGCTCTGTGCTTAATTATGACGGTTTGAAGCAGGACAATAAACCTGCTGTTTCTGCCTTTCTTGTGTCCAACTTGCCTTCATGGTCAGGAGGGACTTGGTGTGCTTAGGGATTAATGAGAGTCGTCTCCCTGCGACTAGCAAGGAAAGCCCTGAAGGGGACATTTCCCTTCCTTGACAGCCTGACTCTGTCTTTCAAGTCCCCATTTCTCCTGTTTGACTCTGCAGAGGTTTTTAAGTGTAGACTTTGGCACTGTAGGAGTTCAGTAGCTGAGGACTAATCCAGGGAACCACGTGACAAATAAGCTACACATACATGTGGTATGTAAGGCAGTCAGGTCCCACCACATTCAGCACATCTCCAGCTCTTCAAAGAGCCTGGCTCACTGCAGTGCCTTCTTGCAGATGGTTTTTGGGGGAAAGAACTAGCTAAAGTGAAGTCTTGACACAAGTCTCAAACACAGAAGAAAAGACATGCATCAAATAAAATCCACTCCAAAGACAAGAAATGAAGTTACAGATCAGGATGAAGGCAGGGAGTTTGTGCTGGCAAAACATCAGATTTATTAAGGTTAGAGTCTTCAAACCTGTCTTGTTCTGTAATTTTCTGTAGGCTGCATACATCAAGGCACATTTCAAGATAATCAGACTGTCTGTTTCAAAGAGAAGAATGTTAAAATTGAGTATGTTTTTATCAACAGGGACAAAAAAACCAAACATGAGTAGTGGCACAGCTTGTAATGCTTACAAACTTGTCCTGTTTAGTAGCATTCTTCTAGGTCTGTGCTTCAAAGCACACTTAAAAATAGTCTGCCTGGTTATTTTTAAGAAAAGAACATTGAAATTAAGGGTCAAAGGCCAAAAATCTTCTAGTGCATTATCATGGAGGTATATCTTCAGGCATTTCAACACATTAAGGGACTTTCCAGACGCACATGAACGTGCAAAACGGCCATTGTCATTGGCATTGTCTCTGCCAGTTTCCCAGTTACCCCTGCAGAACGGGTATGGAGTCCTGCAGGAGGAACTGGCCGGTGGAGAGGAGGCTGGAACACCAAAACTAGAAAAATCAGAAAGTACACCTCACTGCAGACCCAACTTCACTACTAGCTCCAAAAGGAAGAGGAGAAAGGTCATAGTTGTGGGTGACTCTCTGCTGAGGGGGGCAGAGGGACCAATATGCTGCCCTGACCCGCTACACAGGGAAATCTGTTGCTTCCCTGGGGCACGGGTCAGGGATGTGACAGACAAGCTCCCGGACCTAGTAAACCGCTCTGATTATTACCCCCTGTTAGTGTTTCAGGTGGGTAGTGATGAAATGGGTAGGAGGAGGCCGAAATCAATTAAAAGAGATTTTAGAGCCTTAGGGCAGCAGCTCAAGGGGTCAGGAGCACAAGTTGTCTTCTCTACTATCCCACCAGTGGCAACTATGGATAAAGATATTGACAGGAAGAGGCAACAGATCAACTCGTGGGTCCGGGACTGGTGTTACAGGCAGGGCTTTTGGTTTTTCGAACATACGCGGCTTTATGAGACACGCGGCATGCCATTGTCAGGTGAGACACAGCTGTCCAATACGGGGAAAAGAATTTTGGGGCAGGAGCTAGCAGGGCTCATTGACAGGTCTTTAAACTAGATATGAGGCGGGAAGGGGAGATAACTGATCCTGTGAAGATTAAACCTAGGGAAAGCATGCCACGGTTTGAAGGAGGCCACATTAGAGAGGACTCCCACTCTGACATTTCATCAGAGAAAGGTGATAGACATTTAGAAATTACTGCTAGAAAACAATGGGAAAACCCTTCCCTAGAAGGGGAAAAGGGTACTAGGCTAAGAGTTAACAAAGCTCACGGACAGAGCTTTAAGCCAATAGTTAAGAGGGAAGGGGATAAAACCAGGCCCGCTGGTAATGAACCTGAGTGTCAAGGGCCAAAGATGGGGGTGAAATCGGTAGCCCAGGTCAAGTGCATCTACGCTAATGCACGTAGCATGGGCAACAAACAGGATGAGCTAGAAGCCATTGTGTGGCAGAACAGCTACGACATAGTCGCCATCACGGAAAAGTGGTGGGATGATAGTCATAACTGGAATGCTGCAATGAGTGGCTATAAGCTCTTCAGAAGGAATAGGCAAGGAAGGAGCCGGGGGGGGGGGG